AAGCCTAATTTGAACTACCTACTCCGTGCCGCGTGTAGCCACGGGCACGGAGTCCGAACTACCAGGGATTTAAAAATGGCGGCGCCCGGCAAGATGCAAATGAAGCCCGGGATATTTAAATCCCGGGCTTCATTTGCAACTTCAATTGACTACATTAACCACCCTAGTTCGAACTAGGGTGGTAGTATAGACATACCCAGAGAGAGAGAGAGAGCACACCAGGTATTACTTTTTAACTGATTTGAATGCAGATGCACTTTGAGCCAGATGAAAGTTCAAATCCTGATCATTCTTTTCCAGATGTCTTTGGGGTCTAAATCCATTAAAAGCCTGAGGCATAAATTAAAATATGTACTTTCCCTGAATTTTAAGGGTATTTATGGCCTATCATTGATTCTGCGGTACTAAAAATAGTGAAAACAATTATGGGTAGATTAACCAGTTTGTAGAACAAAAAGGAAAAAAAACCCTTCCCCTTTGTACTTAATCCTTTACAATATAAACTCAACCCAATATTTCTTTTGACTGCAACAAGATGTCATGTGGTACTGTGCATATGCCTGTTTTTTACTTTATATTGTGTTAGCACACAACGGACCCAAAGAAGATCTCATACCCATTACGCTATGTGCTATTCAAATACACAGGAAGATATAGTCCCTGCTCTAAAGAGGACAGTCTAATTTGAAATAAGATGCAACAAGCAATCATAATAAACAGTAGAACGAAAGGTGGGCGAGGAGGTTAGGGTTTATGATAATAGGAGTGTTCAATCACATAGGCTAGCATGTGCACATCTTGATGGTTCTCAGTAATTTACAATTCTTTTTTTAAATAGCTGTCTGTGACCACCATTCAATGTAGTCCTTCCTTGTAGCCATCACAGCAGAACTGGGCATTGAGGAAGGGATATGAAGAAGGAGAGGGAGAGAATTTTTGGATTACTCTATGGTTATTTCATGCATTAGGAATGACAAGAATGTGTAGAGATTTATGAGAGAAGTGGACAAATTGACATTCAAGGTTAGCAACACTGTCCAAATGGATGGCTGGCAAAAAGCTGGCAAAAAAGTAGAACTTCTTTTTACTTATGAACTGATGATATCTGAACTAGAACTACTGTGACATAATACGTGTGAAGTGCCACAAGACCACTGTTACAAACTCACTCTTTCATGAGCAGAAGCACTGACTTAAGTTACCAGGTCAGGAAGGAAAAGTGTGGGTATATCTAGACAGCAATAAAAAATCGGTGGAAACAAATCTAAGAGCCCAGGTCAGCTAACTCAGGCATGCAGGGCTCTCCTGTGGGGTTAACAATAGTAGTGTAGACATGCAGGCTTTGCCTGGAGGGTGGGCTCTGAAATCTGGCAAGGAAAAGGAGATGTGTTCCCTCCAAACTGTGTGCTTAGGTGGTCATGCACGAGAGATTCATGTGCCACCCAGCTGATTAACAGAACACCCACTGCCAGCCAGAGCCTCTGTGCATGTATCAACATTTATTCCACAAATGGATGAAAAAAAAATTAGAGGGAACATTGGTGGGGGAGGGAGTATCAGAGCCCTGCATGCTAACTAAGCCCAAATGTCTACACTTCTATTTTTAGCCCTGCAAGCCTGAGTTAGTAGAGTAGACTTTGAGTCTCATTATTGAAGGGATTTTTTTCTGCATATACCCTGTAAGGGAGGATGGTAATTTCATCATAAATAGGTTTCCTAATAATTGTTTTATGTACTACTGGTAATATGAGGGATGTCTTATCTTTTGAAAAACCAACATTTAGTACTGCATTATTTCAGCGTACCCCAGGTTCCCTAATTTTTTCATGTCAGATTAGATATATAACCACGATTTATTATCTCCACCTGCTTTACTGATAGTAACTCTCATAATTTAGTTAAAGCCTAAGATTCTCAATTAAGCAACAATGTTATGGATTTGTAAAATAAATTCTATTAATTATTTTTTCCTGTAGATATATGGTGGACCATTTACTTTAAGTACACGAACAGCATTTAATAGTGTACTTAAATTATACTAATAGCGTAGAAAATATGCTGCCTCTTTGTAAGAGATGCCATTAGAGAATTACATAATATTTCATCTGTCATAAAAAAAAAGAAATGGCATGCAGTTCTATTGTCAGGCCTTTTCTATGACAGATGTCATATTAATTATATGTCAAATGATGCAATTAACATAACATGTTATGAAGATCCAAGTCATATAATCTTTTTTCATGAGTAATGAAGCATTCAAGAATTGTCAGATGATCTAATCGAAGCAACATATTTTACTGATCAGTATTATTAATCTTAATTGTATATTTATGACCATAGTTTATTACTAAATATACGTAGAAAAGGGATAACATTTTCAAAAGTGCCTAAGTACCATAAGAGCCTACATTCCTTCGAATGACACTGGGAGTGAGACCCTAACTCTGTGCAAAATCGAAAATGGGACTAAAGCTTACAAGTCACTTAGGCACTTTTGAAAATTGTACCCAACGTGAATTGTTAATGCAGGCCTTGCTTGCAGCCTTAGTCATGCAGTCTTAGTCATGGTGTGGCATCTACTTACAATTGTTATATATGAGATAAATTTTTTTAGCATATTTAACATACATCTAATGTGTGATGAAGTATTAAAATAGCGTGCTTTGTAGATGCACTCTGAGTTTCGTGTCCAGGAAGATTTCAGTTCTGTGGTCCTATGGGGTAATAAATTATAGTAGAGTCCTGTTGTGCTATTTCATCACATAACATGCACACACACTGTGGTCTTTTTTTTCCAAAACTCATCCTTTTACTGGTGATTATCTTTACTGTGTGTCTTTAAAAAATGTAACGTAAGTGAAAAGAGCCTACAGCAGGACAGAATCAATTTTCTGCAGGCTCCACCTTCAAAGTGGAAATCATACTTACAGTGTCCTACTTCACAGTGCTACTGTGAGGATTAACTAACATCTGCAATGTACTTTATAAACTTAAAATGGTATGTCTACACTGCAAGTTTTGGTGGCAAAAAATATGCTAATGAGGGACTCATTAGCATGAGTCATGATGTCATTAGCATATTTTCTGCTGATTCTTTTTGCACAGGGGGGTTTTGCACAAAAAGAAGCAGTGTAGCCACTTCCATTTTGCACAACCCCCCCTTTTTGAGCAAGATCATTATGCCTCTCCATTTTGTGCAAAACAGAAGCGGCTACACTGCTTCTTTTTGTGCAAAAAATCCTTGCGCAAAAAAATGCAGCAGGAAATATGCTAATGACATTGCAACTCATGCTAATGAGTCCCTCATTAGCATATTTTCTGCCACCAAAACTTGCAGAGTAGACAAAACCCCGGGCTATGTCTAGACTGGCATGATTTTCCGGAAATGCTTTTAACGGAAAAGATTTCCGTTAAAAGCATTTTCGGAACAGAGCATCTAGATTGGCACGGACGCTTTTCTGCAAAAGCACTTTTTGTGGAAAAGCGTCTGTGCCAATCTAGACGCGCCATTTTCACGATCGGGGCTTTTTTGCGGAAATCAAATCTGAGCTGTCTACACTGGCCCTTTTGCACAAAAGCAAAAGGACTTTTGCCTGAACGGGAGCAGAATAGTATTTCCGCAAGAAGCACTGATTTATTACAGTAGGAAGTCAGTGCTTTTGCGGAAATTCAAGCGACCCGTGTAGACAGCTGGCAAGTTTTTCCGGAAAAGTGGCTGATTTTCCGGAAAAACTGGCCAGTCTAGACACAGCTCTGTAGTATGGACATATAATCACTTGCACAAATTTTCTCTGTCTTTCCACCTAGCTCAGAGCCTGGTTGGTTCTGATGACTTTAATGTTGTCTGACGAGGTCTGTCAGGCATCTGATTTTTGACTGGAATGCCCAGTTAAAAAGGATGAGTGGCATGGGGGAGGGGGAGTCCAGGACTAAGGCAGGCTTCCCACCTGACTTGGCTCTACATGATTCCCAAAAGTGAACTCCAGGTTTCCAGCCAAGGGGGGCTGTGGAGCCAGTACTTGCAGATGGGGATAGCACATAGAGTCCAGCTACATGGATTCCTTTTGCTGGAGTCCATTGTCCAGAAAACATGACCAATGGGACATATGAAGGCATTACCTACAGGCATGGTGGAGCCTCCCTGCACCTACAGAGTGCATGGAGCTTGTGGCCACTTCCTGGGAGTCACAGTAAGTGCCGACAGGACCCACCACCTCCAATCTCTCCACACACATCAACTCCCTGCATAAGCCCAAAGTCCCCTTCCACACCCTAACTCCCTCCTGACTCCCCAACTCTCTTCCCCAGTAACTCATCCCAAGCTCCATCACAGAACCCACCTCCACCCAGAGTACTCACCTCATAGACCTCAGCCCCAGACCGAATATTTCCTATATCCTGAAGCCATCATTTCTGGCACCGCCTAGAATTCACACTTCCAATTTTGTGTAATTAGAAAGTTGGCATCCCTAGCTAGCATGTCAGCAGAATAACTCTGCATCTCCCCACAAGATCTCAAAGCTACGTGCGTGTACAGGCACGCACGCACGCATGCACGCACATGCACACACACACACACATGCACCATTACATTCAAATTACAAAAGATCTTTACAACAGTGTTTCCTTCAAATGCAGCCTACATGCTAGCTGTCAAGAGCATTATGAAATCTTGAAAGCATAGCAACAAGTTGGTTTCCATCTTTTGGGACACAAAGAAATGGCAGATATCAGTCAAAATCCTGAATCAAAATAGTTTTGCAGTGCAATGTGTCTTAAAATCAATTTGACTTAATTTTGTCATATTGCAGAAACTGAATAAATAAAACTAATGCTAGTTAAAATTATTGGTAATAATGAGGGGAGACTATAAACAGGGCTTATCTAGTTGCAGCCTTCACTGTGCAGCTACAACTTAATTTTATATTTGACTTTATACCTAAAAGATTTTTCAAAGATGTTTTAAACATTGCTAATTATACCATTATATTTGACTGCAGGTGACTTATGAAATTGTTGGAGCTATTGAAAAAAATAAAGATTCCCTTTCACAAAATCTCCTGTTTGTAATGAAAAGTAAGTGTTCTTTTGTTGGTAGAATACGCCATTTCACACCTTAACTTTTTAATCTTTTTCATAGTTTTACAAAATATGTCATCTGCAAAAGAATAGTTGAAAACAACATTTAATTTTAAATACCAGAAATAATAATACTTTTACTATGGTATACATTGTGTACAAGTTATTTGAAGCTATCAAAACTAATTTAAACAGGCTTTTAGCATCTGTACACATAAAACATTGCTCTATGTCAATAGGGGGTATGAATTTTGAAAAGATTCTTGTTAAGACTAATGAAAACAAAGTTTCTAAAGTCATACCAGTTATAGAAAGATTTATTTCATCATTAAAATGATTAAAATTCCAAGTAAAAATGGCATTTTGTGGGTGTGCTTGAATTTTCAGTAAAAACATACAAGTGTGTTTATGTGAGTAAAAGGAATCTGTAAATTTGGTTCAATATGCCTATCTTATAATTGTATATCTAATAATAATTGTATATATATTCTTGTTTATTCATTAATGATTTATAAGTAGATAGTTACACATTTCTTGTCATTTTATGTTTACCTTTGTCTTTGTATTTTAAAAAATTCACTTTCCTCAAGGAAATATGACGGTTTATCTTCCTGCAGATGTTACCTTTTTTCCCCCTAAACCACTACAGAATATTTCATCTAAAATATTATCTAGTATATTTTATGCCACAGAAATAGAGGTCTGATATTTGCCATCAGAATCAACAATATTGGAAGAACATATTGACTTACTAGCAATTATACAGTGAAATTAGCTAAAATTTCAGGGCATGTCTATATTAGGAAAATTATTTGAAAATAACTTATTTTGAAATAGTAACACCTGAAATTACTTTTCCCAAAATAAATAAGGAGTTATTATTTCAAAATAACCAGCCACTTATTTTGAAATAACGGGTTTGGTAGTGTGGACGTTCTCCTTGTTATTTTGAAATAAGGGGAGTTATTTCAAAATATCTCCCTAGTGTCGACCAGGGCTCTGATAAAGTCATTCCTCCATTTCCAAAGTAAATGGCATTTTCAAAAATATGATCCTTTAGTAATATTATTGATGAAGAAAGAAATAAAGAATTGATTTTGAATATATCCCTATCGATTATAGCTTTAGCCATAGTCAAGTTCTTTGTTGTTTGAATTTATTTTGTATTATATTATTCCTTGTCCTGTCTGATAATCAGCTATACAATGAGTTTAAGAAATATATTTAACATACAGTATGCTCTAAAGATAAAAGAGAAGGGGCATTATTATAGTCTCTCCTTACATTTTTATTACTACATTATGAACCTAGTTAGGACAGTCTTTTTATAGGGCAAAAGGAGAAATTAAATCATAGAGTCACAGAATCAGTGTTGGGAGAGACCCCTGGACTTGTGTGTGTTCAGTTTTTCTAAATAGTCCTTAAGCTGTCCTTAAATCACTGAGGCCTGCTCACCTCCTCCCCATACTGTGCTGCCCAGTGAAGTAGTCTCTGTGAAGACTGAGGCAAAAAAAGCACTGAGTATTTCAGCTTTTTCTATACCACCTGTCACTAGGTTGCTTTCCCTATTCAAATTGGATTTCATATAAACTCTTTGATATTGTTAATGGGAATATATATAATTTAGAAGTCAAATATCAATAGATCCAACTAATTGAAGAGGGCTAAGTGTACATTTTTCTAAAGCACATTCTTCTCACCTTCAGAATTGATTTAGGCACTTAGTAGCCTAATCCCGTTGACTTTCAATTAAACATAGGCTTCTAAGGCCACCAGCTAAAAATACAGCTAGGTGCTTGTTGGGATTTACAAAATTGCTTAAGCGAATTAAATGCCAAACTCCCATTAATTTTCAATGAGTTTTAGGCTCCTCAGGTACGCGCGCACGCACACACACACAGACACACACACACACACACATCCCGAAATCTGTTTTGAAATTGGGATGTAGATTCCTAAGTCACTTTGATGCTTTTGAAAATTTTACCATGCACCTAAAATCACAAACACACAGAAATAAATACAAAGAACTATTAGCATAGACTTTATTTATTCTGATTGGGGGGAGGGAGGCATTTTATTACTGTTTCTGGTGATGGCACTGGATACATATACTTGTTTTACCTGGGCTACTTGTCATCCCTTTGGATCCTGCTTTGAATAAAAAGTAATGAATCAAATGAGTTGTTTTAGACCCTTTTGCTCCTTCATTGTATAATTATTATTTAACTAGCCAATTAGCCTGTCATAAGACAGGATTTTCAGGTTTCTCCTCCACGTCGGTCTTCTCTCCTGAGCCTCCGGTCTCTCGCTCCGTCTCTCTCTCTTTCTCCTCCTCCTAGCGCCTCCCCCTCTCTCTCTCAGCTCTTCTTTGCCTTCTTCCTCTTTCTGTCTCTCTCTCTTTCTCTTCTCCTTCCACTCCTGCCTCTCACTCGGGGGACCATGGAGCCCAAACAGTCGTTTGGGTTCCGCACACCCCATGCTGAATGGGGAGTACGGAGCCTAAACAGTTGCTTGCGCCACTTGCTCCTATGCAGAGGCCTAAGCTGTTCCCTCTGCGTAGTGCTGTTGCTGAAATGCTGGCTGTTCCCTCTGGGCGGCCCATGCTGCATGGGGAGTGTGGGGCCCAAACAGCCGCTTGCACCGCTTTCTCCCCTGCGGCGGCCCGGCTGAGCGGCACAGAAGTCAGCCGAGCGCCACGGGGGGGGGGATGGGGGGGTGGGGCGGTGACGTACATGGCCAGGGGGCAGGGCTACATGGGGGGCGCGGACCCCAAACGGCCACTTGCGCCGCTTGCTCCCCCGACGCGG